GAAAGGGCGGAAGCGGGATCTCTACGGTGGCGGGAAGCGGGAGAGAAATTCAAAAAGGCAAGCTTTCGTTATTTGTTACTGCTTACATCCAGTCAAAGAAACGAACCCAACAACGTTTCTTGACTTCCATTTAACGTTCTCCGAGGCTTAAAGCAAAATTTTATACCCGGGAAAAGTCAAAAAACGAAAGGTCGTACTCGGGATAAAAAAAAAAAACAGCATTACCTTCTGTGAAATTGGAAACTTTTCCAAGTCGCTTACATCATAGGACGTGAATGAGATGGCATGACACATGTACACGCGGTACGTGTGTCGACTGTCAGTCGTGTCAGTGTCTCGTCTGTCTCGCTAGCTGTCGAAATTCTCCGTAAGAACAACAAAGCGAGCCAGATAAAATGTCGTCAAAGACCATTTTGATCGGTCTCGGATTCTTCGGTGTGGTGGCGAAAAATCCTTCCATGGAAGACCTTCCTGGGAGCTCGCTCCGTACTACTCTAGTTCACAAAACATTGAAGATTTTGCTGCGTGGTGTAAACTTGTGTCGAAGGAATGCCGCTTCAATGACCGCGCTAGAGAGTGCGAAGTGGTTCGATTTATAACACCATTTTTTATTTTGGACAGGGCCAAAGCACTCCCTATTAAAATAGGGAGTCAAACAGCGTGATTTACATGATAACAGGAGAAACACAACAAAGGGCGGGAGTCGGGAGACAAAGGGACAAAAAAGTACGGGAGGCGGGAAAACGGGATACGAGAAGCAGGAGATTGTGACCCCCCACTTTGCAGGACTTCGGTTTGTTGAGGTTCAGAAATTTTGCTACCATGACAACGTGACGTAACGACTTCTCTCTCTCTATTAGGAAGGGAACATGTTTTCCCCTCGTGCGTTTGCCTCGTTCGTTCGCGCGTAACAAGCTCGCCTCGCGCAGATAGTCGTTACGAACTCCTAACATTCTATATTCACACGCTTAATTTAAGAGCACTTAATGTATAAAGTGGTCAACCTCTATACAACTATCACAATTTTTCACTTCATTCCTTTCTGGTGGAGATTAGGGGTATTGTTTTTTAAACCTCAAAAAGAATTGATAACTTTAAATAAGAAAGCAAGAACGAAAAGAATTGTGGTAGTTGTAGTCAAAAGCCTTCATCGTGAAAATAGCCTATCACGCCTTTCACACAGACGTCCTTTGAGACTACATTCTCTAGCTCAGAAGGAGGCCGGGCACCTTATGAACCCTACACATGAGAAAACCTTATCTTAATTTTTTACGTTTTAAACAAAAACTTTCGAAGAAAAAGCAAAGTAGATGATTTGCATGTAAATGAGAACCAGGATCGGGGAGCCTTGAAACCGGTTTACCACATTTCCTTCATGCCTAACCACTACACTAGAGCAGCAATTGGTGCAATCGATTATTTCATCTTTATGGAATTTTCAAAACAGTAAATGTGAATTAACCACCGACCACAAAGCAGTGGAAAACATAGTTCTATTTTCTCAGTTTTTTCCCTTCCAAATTGTGTTTTCTTCGTCTTTAAGGTGGCTCGATACAGTTTTTCAGGGCCAATACCTCTCAAGTTTGAGCATAAACTACGTCGCCATAAAAAAAGTTTTAGAAAAATTGCCACCACAGTTGTATTAGATGAAGATGAAAATTTGTTATGATTAGGGTTGCAACAGCCTCAGAGTTGTCATAGCAACGAAATGACGCTATTACCTATTTTACTTGCAACAGTATATCTCGGCACTGGGAACTGTTCTTTGAAAATCATTCACGGGGGCTTATTCCTCCAATAGCAGCCTCGATGTTCGTGAAGTTTAAGCGAAATCTGTAAGAGCGTTATCGAGATATTTTGGGATAAAGATTTTGTCGTTAGAAATACTGTAAAAAATGGACAATCTTGGTGTTCGGCTGTTATCTGTAGAAAACGAAGCGTTTTTGACATGCAATTTCACCTCGTAGTAGTTTCAATCTTTTTAAAAACGTGTGTGAAAGATCAAGGAGATAGCTCCAGCCGTTTGCTAGAAAGAAGGATTTGATTACTATGTATCGAGGCACTCTTGTTAGCGGTTTTTTGAACATTTTGGTCTACTTTAACAAATTAGCGAATAATTTCTAAACCACTCGATAGATTTTTTTAAAAATTTAAGATTGTTGAGACTAACCTTCCTTTTATATGACCTTTTAGTTTCAAGGTTATTGATATATTGTAAGGCAGTAAAATAAGGGCTACAATTCGCTAATATTTTGGCCGAAATTTTGTGTTTACAAGTGTGAGCCTCTCATTATTCAGGGTATTGTGTCCAAGTTTCATATTTTCGTGCACAACAAAAGCTAGCATTTTTGCATATTTCAAATGCATTGTTAGTTACTGCTGTTCACGTGAAAATGAAACTTGGAGACAATGCCTTGAATAATTAGAGGCTTTCACTTGTAATGACGAAACTTCCGATAAAAAAAGTAACGAATTGTAGCCCTTATTTTATTGCCTTACAACATATCAATAATTTTGAAACTAAAAGGTCATATAACAGGAAGGTTAATCTCAAGAATCTTAAATTTTTAAAAAAATCTATCGAACGGTTTAAAAATTATTCGCTAATTTGTTAAAGAAGACCAAAATGTTTACAAAAACGCTAACAAGAGCGCTTCAATACATACTAATCAAACCCTTCTTTCTAGCAATCGGCTTGAGCTATCTCCCATGATCTTTCACACACGCTTTTAAAAAGATTGAAAATACTATGAGGTGAAATTGCGAGTCAAAAGCGCTTCATTTTCTAGAGATAACGGCCAAACAACAATATTGTCCATTTTTTACTGTGTATTTAACAATAAAAACATTATGGCAAAATATCTCGATAACGCTCTTACAGATTTCGCTTAAACTTCACGAACATCGAGGCTGCTATTGGAGGAAAAAGCTCCCGTAAATGATTTCCGAAGAACAGTTCCCAGTGCCGAGATATACTGATGCAAGTAAAATAGGCAATAGCGTCATTTCGTCGCTATGACAACTCCGATGCCGTTGCAACACTGATCATAACAAATTTTCATCTTTATCTAATACAACTGTGGTGGCAATTTTTCCAGAACTTTGTTTTTGGCGACGTAGTTTATGCTCAAACTTGAAAGGTATTGACCCTGAAAAACTGTATCGAGCCACCTTAATTCATAGTATTTCTATTGAGTTTCCGAAACAGAAAATAAAAGCTTACCATTCAAAGTCAGTGCTTAATCCTAATCACCGAATACACACCCGTCCAAAACAAAAATGCAGGTCTATTTTGTCTCTTCTTTTCCTACTAATTAAATTGGCTCCCCTTTTTTTAATTTCTTAAGTTACTGCAGAAGTGTCCGTCGTCATTCGTAGACTCTACTCAACTGAAATTCTTAATAGTGTTTGCATGGAGAGCCCAATTCCCGTCAATTCTGCGTGGGAATCAAACTTGCGAACAACTCACCTGCTCGAGCTTTGCTACGTTTTCTGCTTTTCTCCCTCTGGTTTTAAGTATTTCAGGACTTTGGTCGCAAATATAAGAGCCACTAATTTCCTCGGATCGTTCTTTTTAAGAAAGTGTATGCTCCCAACTGTAGTATTAATAAATAAAGTCCGGTCTGCTTTGCGAGCACATTTGACTAAAAAAGCAGTTTTTCGGGCTTATTATACTAGCAATACACTCATATTAAAGAGTTATTTTAAGCCAAAAACCGCCTTTGTAAACACTGCTACAGATGCATTGATGCTATATATGAAAACCTGGAAAAATATTCTAAGAAGTTTCACGGAGCATAACCCATAAACGACTATTCCACCGGCACGTTTTTGCCGGAAGTTTTCATTACAAAAAACGGTAGTTGGATGACCATTTAAGTAGTTAACTCAGAGTGCCAATAGGCTTTCAAAAAATTTTCTATAACAACTAGTAAACCACAATTGTGGTCAAAATGAAAAATGAAATTAGCTGACCACCCTACTCAGAAGTGATGCTAGAAATAAATTTGATGCTGTAGTCTCAGGACTGTGTTTTAAACTAATTTTAGGAATGAAAAAGACAAAACAAAACCCATAACTTATCCTTAAAAGCAATTTGCGTAACACTAGCTAAAAACGCCTGCGTGGGAGGCTAGCTGGATCGTGGATCCTTTCATGCACGAATCTCGAATCTCGGCAATGTTCTAAACCGTTCGAGAACAGGTAAAAACCCGCTTTTTTACATTTACTAGTTGAGGTTTCTGGACGGATTTAAACGGTTGTCGGTAGAGGGTACTTTTTGCACGCCATCTCATGCCGCGAAAATCTAGCCTCTGCTTGCAGGGTATTCCGATTGTGACCGCTACCACCCAAGCTACAAATGAATTAGATTCATGGGCATTAACATCGGGGGACTGGGCAGAGGCAAGGTAAACTTAATATTGAAGCGCGTTTTCCCTTCAGGTTTTCATTCTAAAAGGCTTTGACTGTTCTTTTCCACAGGCTAACAGGCCAACAACCTCAGATCATTTCCACAACTTCAAGCGGAGCTGTAGGCTAAGAAAGCGTGAGTAAATTTTTGTTGGCTATATTTTACTCCACCCTTTTGTTTCATGCATGACGAGGGCGCATAATTAGTCAATGAGTAAAGGCCGATACACACGAGGGGTTTTGCTCCCGGAGCATGCTCCAGGGGCACGCTCCGGGAGCAAAGCTCCTCCGTGTGTACCAACGATTTCATGGGTATACTTCATCCTCGGGAGCAGAATTTCCACCCCGCAAAATGCTCCATAATATTTAACCGGTTAAATACTTGGGAGCAAGCTCCCGGGGTAAATAACGCTCCCTCGTGTGTACTGACACGTGCAAAATGATCCTGGAGCATGCTCCGGGAGCAAAACCCCTCGTGTGTATCGGCCTTAAAGGAGCGGGACTTCGATGTAGGATTTCTTTGGGGTGGGTAGCGATTTTTACTCTGATTTTTTTCTTTCGCTAATCTTTTTACTAGATCCCAATTCAAAATGGAATATACTTCACAACAGTTAAACTATTTCAGAATATGTTATATCGCCTTCAACTTGGTCCCCGAAGGACTTCGGAGAGTCTTCAAACAAGAGTGGAATTTCCTTTACATAACAACTCCATTTGGGGAATGGAAAGACATTCCACAAAATGGCAGCGATTTCTACAACAACGAAACGGGGAGAAGTCGCAAAAACAATGCTCGATATTTTGCGACAATAAAAAAGGGAAACACCGCGGAGTGGGACTGCAGTTGTCTACTTTTTGCGATATTGTTCTCGGATAGTATTGGCACCACTCTGAGTTCGACAATCAGAAAAGAGGTCGACGATCTTCGACAGGTGCGAAACGACATCGCTCATATAAACGAGGTTGAACTTACTGATGTTGAATTTCAAAATTATGTCGCAAGAGTGATAGCTGCATTTACATCTTTGAAACTCGCAACTGATGAAATCGAGGATGTTAAAAACCAGAGCAGCTTTCCCACAGCAGAAGTAAAAAGCCTGAAGCTAAAGGCTGATGGACTTAAAGCTGATTTAAAAGCAAAAAATGAAGAAGTTAAAAATCTAAACTCCGACTTACAATTGACCCAAGACGCATTACAGACCAAGCAGGAAGAAGTAGAAACCCTCACTCAGGAAATCAATTCCAAAGTCGAGTCTTTCTGTAGTCTTACATTCAAGCCATCGCACCAAATCATCAGACGTTCCAACGATGTCACAAGAATCAAGAACAAGCTGGAGGAACTTTATAATGAAAGCAAAGGGGCCATCAGCACCATTTATTTATCAGGAATTCCGGGCTGCGGCAAAAGTCAAATCGCTCGTCAAGTTGGACAGGAATTCTATGACAAAAGATTGCGTGAAGACGAAGGTCTAACATTTGTTTCAACTCTGAATGCAGAAACCCTTGACTCACTTGCCGACTCCTATTTCAATCTAGCTAAACAACTGGGAGTTACGGAATACGCCCTAGCCAATCTAGCTACCTCAAAGAGGGACAGCTCAAGTGAAACAATGCAGCATCTGATGCGTTTCATTTCTCCAAAAGTGAAACAGTTTTCTGCCTGGCTGATTATTGTGGATAATGTTGTTGACCTATCCTTGGTTCGTAGTTATCTGCCTCCAACCGCCAGTGAAGAATGGGGTCATGGTCAGGTGCTGATAACAACACAAGACACCCAGTCCATACCGTTCGATTCCCCTTATGCTTACCATGAATCTCTCAGTGAAGGAATGCATCCAGATGATGCAGTAGACCTTTTAAGAGAAGTGTCCCAAATTTCGAATCAACAACAAGCTGAGGAGGTTGCTAAAGTTCTCGAGTATCAGCCACTTGCCTTAGCAGCTGCTGCAGTCTACGTGCAAACAATTGTCAGCTATGGTACCCCTGATTACCGTTGGACAAAATACCTGGAAACATTGAATAGCGAGGAACGCGAAGCCAGAGAAGAGCTTTTCGCGCAAAAAAACAGAGCATATCCCAAAACAACGGCTTCTGCAATCAGAATAGCAATAACTCGAGCTTTGGAAAGCGACAAAGTTCTTTGTGAAGTATTTTGTTTGTTTTCGCTGTGCACATCTGATTCTCTACCTATTGAGGCTGCAGTTGACTTTGTTAAATTTCGTAACAAGCAACAAAAAGAAGAATTTATCAGAGCTAAAATTCTGGAATCCAACATGATAACTTGCTTGTATGATGTTGATGGCACACCCACTTACTTAAGAGTACATAACGTTGTTCATGAAGTGCTTAAGTCCACTGTAACATCTGTCCTGAACCGCACAGATAAAGCTGAGTACTTTTCTGCTGCTGTTAAGATTTTCAGTTCATTAATTGAAGACAACAAGAAGCTGCTACTTGCAAGTGAGAGTGCGTGCAGAAAGTTAAGACTAACTACCAGTCATTGTAAAGAGTTATATCAACATTTCAAGACTAATTTTACCGACACAGAATTAACTAATAATGAATTATTCCCCTCCATAGCTCCTAGAAATTTAGTATCCTGGCTTTCCTCAACTGCTGAAGTCAGTCGCAAATTGAGTAATATATCGGACGCTCACCTCTTTTGTACATTATGCTCTGATTTTGTAAATTATCTTGATGACGAGCTAAGAGATAAGCTGGAAAAGGCGAATTATTTTCGAGTGAAAGGCCATGTTTCGAAGGATCTTGACCAGAACAATCAAGCTAAAGAATACTTTGAGAAGTCTCTTGCCATTAGCAAACAGATTTATGGTGAACACCATGGTGAAGTAGCGGACAGTTACAACAACCTGGGACTTGTTTACAGAAACCTTGGTCAGTACAATCAGTCTAAAGAATACCATAAGAAGTCTCTTTCCATTAGAAAAGAGATTTATGGTGAACACCATGGTAACGTAGCGGCAAGTTACAACAACCTGGGACTTGTTTACAGTGACCTTGGTCAGTACAATCAGGCTAAAGAATACTATGAGGAGTCTCTTTCCATTAGGAAAGAGATTTATGGTGAACACCATGGTGACGTAGCGGCAAGTTTCAACAACCTGGGAAATGTTTACAGAAACCTTGGACAGTACAATCAGGCTAAAGAGTACCATGAGAAGTCTCTTGCTATTAAAAAAGAGATATATGGTGAACACCATAGTAACGTAGCGGCAAGTTACAACAACCTGGGAACTGTTTACAGTGACCTTGGTCAGTACAATCAGGCTAAAAATTACCATGAGAAGTCTCTTGCCATTAGAAAAGAGATTTATGGTGAACACCATGGTGACGTAGCGAGAAGTTACAACAAGCTGGGAATTGTTTACAGGAAGCTGGGTCAGTACAATCAGGCTAAAGAATACCATGAGAAGTCTCTAGCCATTAGAAAAGAGATTTATGGTGAACACCATGGTGACGTAGCGCAAAGTTACAACAACCTGGGAACTGTTTACAGTGACCTTGGTCAGTACAATCAGGCTAAAGAATACCATGAGAAGTCTCTTGCCATTAGAAAAGAGATTTATGGTGAACACCATGGTGACGTAGCGAGAAGTTACAACAAGCTGGGAATTGTTTACAGGAAGCTGGGTCAGTACAATCAGGCTAAAGAATACTATGAGAAGTCTCTTGCCGTTAAAAAAATTATTTACGGCGAGGAGCATTCCTCTGTAGCGAACAGTTATTTCGACCTTGGCAATATCTATTGTAGCGTTAAACAGTACCCTGTTTCTGAAGAATGCTATGAAAAGGCTCTGAACATTTATAAAACCTTGTATGGCGAGCAGCATGCTGCTGTGAAAAGAACTTTCAACGAGTTAGGATTCGTTAAAAGGAAACAAAGAGAACTTAATCAAACTCGTAACAAATGTTGCATTGTGTAAGAATAGCACCAATACACTGGGGAACTTCTACCTATTCCACCAGAACTAATAATTGTACTTCACTTTGGGATCTTTGCGAGTCATTCATTTGTTTATAGGCTAAGTTTTTTTAAAACCAAGTATTTGAGCGATTTAAAAGCACTCCATTTAAATAAGCGTTCTCCCTCCCCATAATACCCCTCCCTACTGAATATCCGATATTGGCAGTATGGATATCTTCCGATAAATTCAATCAATGACACATCTCCAATAACACACCTTTTATGCACCCTATAGTCTCCCCATTCCCTCCCCCATTTTGAATATCTTTTGTTTTTCATTTCTCCTGGCGTATTTTAGCATTTGTAGTGTCAACATTCACTCTGTTCTTTCTCCTCCTGAAGAAAAAATGGGCTTTGAAAAGGCACCATTGTCAAGAATCAGGTCTCTTATATTGCAACTTAAAGGAGCGGCAAAATTCTAAATGATGGCATGTATCATTTCTGCTGAATTGGCCACATTCCTTGGTGCAAATTCCATAAGCGATTAAATTTCTAGGCTCCATAATCTTTTTGAGGGAAACAAAACGTTGTTACAACGAGAAGTAGTGTTGTTACAGAAAGGTGTTCTTCTTTTGCAAGAAAATCTCTACATGTTGTGCATTTTACTGGCCCAAAGCAAACTTGTTTTGTAGCCGGTGACGTGTATCGCGTTACTCACGCGTAATTTTATGAAATCCGAAGTCAATATTCAAGCAATGCCTGGTGTGTGGATTGACATTATCTTGATATTTTTTTTCTAGATAGAGTTTCTGTAATATACTTTCTTAAAGCTAGAGCTTTTGTACATTTTCATTAATATTATTTTAGTTATAATCAATTTAATATGCTTAGGGCAGCAACTATTTCGAAATATACTTTAATAAACTATTAATATTATAATTATTGTACTTGTGCGTCTCTTCGCCCAGGTGAATAAATAGGTACTGGTGACATACTGCAATAGGTGGTCGGGGGAAGGGGTAGTAACACTGCGATGGACTATTTGAACTAGCATCCCATCCAGGGGGGAGTATGCCTAATGCTGCAAAAGGCTCGTTAACCTCATGCTGTGTGGGCTTCGTCAGGGACCGCGGACCCGGGAGGCTAACAAAAAAAAGGCTTTAGCCACCTCCCCCCTAGCTGCCCCCATCACTTTTTCAGAAAAAATAAAGACTAAGAGGAGTTTCTCCTTAGCCTCCCCACTTCAAGTCTTTAGCAGCTCTCCCCAACCCCCCTCCCCTCCGCTTGGGAAATTTTTCGTCTTCCCTATTCTTTGGCTAGTGTCCGACTTAATGTACATTATTTGTTTATTTAAGCAGTTACGTATATTAAGTGGCGGGGCTGAGCGGCATGTTTGTAGCCTCGCTTACCTTATTATGCTTAAAAGTTCTGTTTTTTTTTTTCCACCTTATTTTTGTTCGGAACCAATCTTTGATACCCTATCTATTTCAGTCCACACAACGGTGGGCACTCTTATACATTTTCAAAGCTTGCAAAAGCAGCTGTGGGTTTGCATCAACATTACCCTTACAATGGCTTCAATTATACGGATTTCTCAAGAAAAAAATAATAAAAACGTTAAAGGGGCGTTCTCTAAAATTACTACCCAATTAGCAACTTCAGACCAAACCGTTTAATAACCTATTTCAAAACACGATTAATAAATTAAAGCTACACCCAAGAACAACATAGACTCAAAACCTACTCCCTCTAATACTGCACACACTTAACAGGCTTAAGATCAATGAGAAAGTGCTTCCCTCACCCCACCCATTTCCAGCCTGTATCTAGCCTGCATTACAGGCCCGTAAGAAGGATAACGCGCGAGATAAGCGTGCGAGAGAGGAGAGAGCGCGCGCACGAGGAAAGGGCGCCGTCGTCCCTTTTTTGCACCCTTTTTGAACGCCTTACTTTTTCTCGTGTCCATGCTTTTCACAATTTAATACACATGTAGTATTAGACAACTCTCCGACAAATTCCCAAGCGGATTTTTTAGACACCTGAAATGATCTGCAGATCAAGACCAGAAATTTTACTCCCAGAAAGAATATACTGAGCTGCCAACAGTGCGTGATGTGACCATTTAGTTTTGTTTCTACTCCTTCTTGCTCTGTTTACTTTTGTTAGACCACGTTTTTTTGTCATGCTCGTGTTTCGAACCCAGATTTCGGTAATCCACCTTCAATCGAGTTATCATTAATACCGTGCAACAAAATCTACTAAAAGCGATGCTGAACAACCCGGTAAAAACTTCGACAGCCTGGTGAAAGCTTCCAGAACCCAGTAACCAATCCTATTTAGTAAGTGAATATTCCAAAGCTAATTGAGCTTTCACGCTATTTGCTTTTCATAGCTGTTTCTTCCGCGCAAAACTGTTTCTTCCAGAACCTGAAATTGGCACATCGTCCTGGTTGGTACTGTCGCCTGTCTTTAGAAGGCTGTTATTCAAATCGCCTTTTTGGCAGTCATTATAAGCTTCCGTCATTATTTCGTTCCGCTTACACGGTAATTGTTCATTGTTCTTACTTGATTTTTCTTCTGAAGACTTCTAGGCGTTCTTCTCGTGCAGTGACCGCACAACGCGCGCAGTACTAACCTTTTACTGCTCAAGCAAACGCCAGAAGAACAAGGGAGTAATCAGCGTTGTTCTTAAATTACGGCAAGTGATAACCAAAACCAATTGTACTCAAAGTCGTGAAAGTAAGTTGAAAACACTTGATATATGACAGTTCTTTGTGTCTCACGTAAACCATGCAAGAGAGCCATTAATGGTAGTAGGCAAACCACAGTTACCACAACCCTTGTCAACGTAACTTTTAGCTCCACTTTTTGAGTGAAAAACGCGTTTCTCAAACTAATCTGTTTGTAATTAAGAGTGTGTCCATGAGAAAACCAGGCAGAACCAGGTAGGGGGTGATAATGCTCAGTTCACCGATTTCGCTCAAACTTGGCACAAATGTCAGGTATCAGGAGTTAACTTATGTGACAGAATGTCAGGTCAAAATATTAAATTCCCTGGGAGATCAGGGCTCCCCCTATAAAAATCGCCCTTTTGCCTTTTTTATGCATAATTAATTAATTAAACTTTATGGTGCCAGTGCAACAAACAAAAAAGCCACCTGGAACTTAAATGCACTAAGAGAAAATCTGAGTTCGTAAGACTTTAAGCACAATAAACTGTTTAAAGTCGCCGATTCGATTTCCCCCTCTTAGCCTCCTTAAGTTGGGTCATCATTTCCAAGTTTTGAGTAAGTCGTAAAATTAGGGTATTTTATTCCCCAATATCTCTGATGAGCAACAGCTTATCTTTACAACTTTTGCATGGCTAGTTAAAGCCATCACTTAAGTTCAGAAAAAGATCATAAAAAGTTTGAGCAATTCTCTTTCTTCCATGTGTTGACATAAACTGTTCATGTGACTGAACGACTTTTGCATCATATTTCATCAAAATTCAGGCCCTCACAATATTCGTGTGTTTGCCTTTGAATGAGGAGAAATCGAACAAAAAACTCATCAGACAATGATTTAACAATAATATGGGTAAAATCGTTGAAATTGTTGTGCAAGAAACTCTAACGATGATTTTTGATAGCTAAATAGGCAATCTTTTCAAGTAAAAACAATGTACAAAGATTCAATTCACAGTTTTACTCACCTTAATAATTTCGCCCTAAAAACAATATAAACGGTCAATAAAATCCATATACGTATCTCTTAGATGTCTCAACTGCTAGTTTGTGCCCGCTTTGATTTCTTCCCCATGCCACCTTCGATGTCCAGTTCAGCGTAGTGCACCTATCAATGTAAACCCCGTGGGGGGGGGGGGGGGGGGGGGGGGAAGGGGGGGGGG